TAATATTTTTTTATTTTTCATAGATATATACATATATTCATGTTTGATTGTTAAATAATAATAAGCACAAAAATAATATTCAAATTAAAGGGAGAGCATTATTTGCGGAAAATTAGGATTAATATTATTTACAGAATATGGATAGTATTAGTTACCAAAAATATAGAGAGAACATTTTATGTTGTTTAATTTAAATAAATAATATATATGTATACTAAAATTAAATGTTAGTAGCATAGTAATGTAAATAGTTTGAAAATGTTAGGACAGAATCCCAGTAAAGATTAGTTTTTAATAGTATAGATTTGAAAAGAAGATACTAAATTTGTGGTTAGATTGAAATTCCCCATTCTACATTGTTGACTAGGCCTGGGCATTTTACCCGGACCCGAAGACCCGACCCGAAACCGGCCCGAAAATGTGCGGCTCGGGTAGGAACCGAACCGATCATTTTACCATATTGGGTCTTGATGTGGAGGACCCGCGGGTCTTGGACCCGAACCGACCCGAATCCGAGACCCGATGGGTACCCGAAATATCCAAAACATCTAGTATATATTATGTATATATATATATGTTTTAGTATTTTTATGGTATTATGAGTATTGTTTTATGTTTTGGATTTAGGTTTTTGGATATAATTACGGGTTTTAAGTATGTTTTTGGGCCATACCCGGTAAGACCCGAAACCGAACCGAATCCGAACCAATAAATTTTAATTACCCCATTGGGTCTAACTATATAAGACCCGAACCGACCTGGACCCGGTAGGACACGAACTGAATCCGAACCGACAAAGTCTAATTACCCTATTGGGTCTAAATATCTAAGACCCGAAGGACCCGGATCCGACATAACCCGACCCGAACCCGATCCGAACCGGAAAATGCCCAGGCCTATTGTTGACCAATAACAACAAAGTTTGGGATTAATCTGGTTTTAGTCTTATAATCAAAAAGAAATAGATCAGTTAATTTCCATAAGAACTTAAACATATATTTAACAAAATCAATATAAAACTTTTCATTCTTGAAAAAATGTATTCAAATCGTCAGATCAAAGCAGCATAAATTCTTTATTGTTATTCTATAAACAATAATAATTTACTAAATAATTAAAGCATGAGAAGATTCTTAAACCAAATTAAAGAAAGAGATAGAGGACTGGGAAAGATGCTGTGTTTTTAATAGAAAATCTCAGTTCAAAAAAAAAAAGAAGATGCTGTGCATATAATTGGCACCATTCTTGAATGCTCCAGTTTGCACCATCAACCTTTTGCAACTTTTTCTCTTGTTGAGCATTGATCACAATAATTAGGCCTAGGCATAAAATCCGAAATTCGAAATCCGAACCGAACCCGAACCGAAAAACCCGACCCGTTATCCGACCCGAAATGTAAAAATACCCGAACGGGTCTTATAAGAAGGTATAAAAAAATCCGAACCCGAACGGGTAACCCGAAATATCCGACATTAATAGTTCATATAAATATTTTAAATATATATATATATATAAATATTTTAGATATTCAGTTTAATGTTTATTTTGATATGATACATACAATAAATATTAAAATATAAATAAATACCTTAAATATATAATTAGTTATAAACAAGTACTTTGTAATTTTTTCATTAAAATAATAAATTTAGTTTATATGTAAGGTATTGCACATTGTTTACAAGTGATGTATGTTTTAATGATTGATTTAGCATTTTTTTTAATCAATTTTATGTATGTATGATTAATTTATATTCAGTTTCAGAGTTTTTCTTTATGTTTTTGTTTCGAAATTTTGTTTTATACTTCGGGTATATCCGAACCGAACCGAAATAACCCGAATCCGAACGATATATGGTTACTTTACGTGTTTTATGCTGCAATACAAATTTGAACCGAACCCGAAGTGTTATTATCCGAACCCGACCCGTACTAGTAAAATATTAGAATGGGACCTATGAGCGTAAACCCGAAAACCCGAAAATCCAAAAAACCCGATCCGAACGCCAACGGGTACCCGAACGCCCAGACCTAACAATAATTATGAATCAAACCCTCTTTTGGAAAAAGAGAGCTCGGTTATTTTATCCAAGTGGGTAGGATAACCAGAAGAATAACTATAGAAATAGCTAGGAAACCTAAAATTGTATCAGCATCCATATATCAAATTACAGACTACGGGAATTGTAGGAGTTAACTCTCTTTTGACATTTAATAGGCTGAAGTAACACTTTTCAGGATTGAGAAAGAAAATTAATGCTATCACATTCTATGACAAAATGCCCTAAAATTTATTAATTAAATTTATGTTTAGTTTAATGAAAATTATAATATATATTTAATGTATTATTCTCTAGAGAATTTGAAAAACATTCAAATAATAACACGTATCATATTTAAAATATTGCAATGTTTATCTTTATATATAGAGATTATTGTGGTCATATACTTCAGTTGGTGGTTGTGACAAGAACAAAACAAACAATTTCATATTGGTGCTCTATTTGATTTTTTTTGTCAACGGTGCTTTATTTGATTTTTTTTGTCATACAAACGATCATATTAATCTAGAAAGAGTTTAAACGATTACATCTAGAATTATGCTCAATTGTGAGAAGATAATAATTGGAGGGATCCTCAATAGTTTGATGAACAACATAAAACATAACATAATAGTAGAACAAGAGATAAACAAAGTTAATGAAAGATGCTTGCTCGACAAGCAGAGAACCATGAGAGATCTTCAGATGCATCTCTGAATAGATTACCACGAACATGAAATAGTCACAATCGATGTTGATTAAACCAAACTGCAAAGCTTGGAATGATGCGGGACGAGCAAGAACAGCTATAGCTCCAACAAAGTTTTCTGAAAAGATTAAAGAAATCTATGATGGTTGGATAAATAGTGAACTTAAATTAAGCAAAATATCACGGCTGTGGGTTATATGTATTTGACGTTGAAGAGCACAATATGGATGAAACTATCGGAAGCCGGATAAGAACGACATTGACGTAAACACATAGACTAGGTGAATCCACCAGTACTGAGAAGATGGCCACATCCGGTGCTCTATTTGATATAATCACTTTGTAGTGCCAGTAATGTTGGGCGAGTGGGCTGTAGCTCATGGATGCAATACCTTTTAACTTTTCTATTTTTGGGCTTAGTAATGGGTTTAAATTAGTTATTTTCTTATTCGGATGACCAATTTACATTGATTCAGACTATTTCATCGGTTTGCTTGGGGAAGCCGAATCCTTATCGTCTAACAAATTTATGAAAGCAGTTAATATGAAATAAGTTTTAATCAATACTATTAAAACATAAACATTTTGTTTAATGAAATTTTTATTTTTTTTCAATTATATCCTTATTTTTAATGAATAAAATTAATTTTTTATTAATGGAAATTTAGTTCTTTTAGTTTTTGGGCATAAAATAATATAATAATTTCATTAATGAGCTAAATTCTTCTTCAAATTATTTATGAAATTTCTTTCAAAAATAAACACATCAGTCTTAATTGACGTAATTAGAGCTGAGAATTTTGATATTAGCCCGTGGGTTAACCTAACTCGCCACATAATAGGTCGATCGATTTGAAAAATTTAAGTTGTGGATGCGGGTCAAATGTATTTTACGCGGTATGAGTGCGGATTGTTTTAATTTCAATTGCAGATATCCGTTAACCCGCAAAAATAGAATTTTTCTTTAATTTATTTTTCAAAAATATACTCAATTTCGATAAAAATAATTATATTTTTAAAAAATATTAAAAACATACTATTTAATATTATTTCTTAGAAAATAATTAAAAACAATCATTTTATTATATTATAATTATCTACGGGCTTCGCAGATTACCTGCAAAATTAAGTGGGAAAGATGCGGATAAAATATATTTTCTTTGCGGGTAAGGCGGGTCGGTTGGGGCGAGTTTGATCTGCTTCCCAGCACCAAGCATAGTTAATTGATATTATTTTTCAAAAATAAAACTACACAATTACATACAATACATTTACATAATATTGATGATAACAATAAATTAAAATCTGTATTAATTGTGTAGAGTTATATTAGATAGTGACATTTTATATCATCAAAAAAAAAAGATTCTATAAATAAACAACAAAAAATGGTATTCGCGCTTTTTAAACGCGGATCAAAAATCTAGTTCATTTTAAATCACAAACGCAGGAAAGTCATTCGTAAGTTACGAATCGTTACATTCGATAAGAATGAAATTAACATACTAAGTATGTAATAACCTAATGAAGATATTCTTCATTAGTATATATTAACATATATTCAGTTATTATTTATAAAAAAAAAAATTCATCATATTTTTGTTTATTTTATAATTATAATACTTCATACTAAAATAATTATTATATTTAATTAATATATTTTTTACAAATATAAATATTTATGTTAAAAGAATATAATATGTTAGTAAAAACGGTTACACATAATAAACTATATAATACATGTCTATGGATTAACATATCTTACACTTTTATATATATAACAAAATATTATCTAAAATGAATTAAAAAAACAAATACTAAAAATTAATCTGGAGCTTTGAAGTGCGGATAAAAATTTAGTATAAATTAAATATAAATTAAGTTGTAAATATGTCGTTTCATATACGTTTACTAATCAAATGCAAATTCAATAAGATAAATATATAATAAGAAACAACAAATTAATGTGAAAAGGTTTTATCCACAATCGTAATTTCTATCCCCACATTTTTAACTATTTTAATTATATAAATCCAAAAATAGGAAGTATTTTAATTATCACTTTTTTGTTGATTAAATCGTTTTCGGTGACTATATAAAGTTTAACCAATGATAAGGTTAATAAAAATAAGTGTGTATTTAAGATTTTTAGTATTTTTGAAAGAATAATCACGAGAAGAATGATCTCATACAGTTTTATCATAAAAAATAGAATTGTCGAGATATGTTCCCAACCATTTTATTAGCCTCGCTACTCCGATCCAAAGGTTAGAAAATTACAAATCGAGATCTGTCATTGTTCTATTAACCGTAGGGAGACACAATTTTCTATAAATCTCCGTGCAACTTATTAAAAGATATAGCCTCCCGTGTTAAATCCATTATAACTATACTCCCATGATCCACACGGCAGAGCCTCAATTGTGCCGCCGTCAAACTTCTCAGCAATATCAGTAGCTGTCCTCTGTTCCCAACCACCAGCAAAACGGTGTGGATCCTCATCTCCTAGAGTCCACAAGCTGCCCCACAAGTTACCTTCATCGATCAAGGAGTGGTCGCTTGAGGTTGCTGTAACACTTTGAGGCATATGAATTGGGTCACTAATGACACTAGTCCGGTAATAAAAAGAGGAAGCTATGTTTTGCTCGTTGTCTAGATTCATGTGGTCTTGAGATACCAGCTGAAATGGTTGATTTTGCGGTTGCTGTTGTGGTTGCGGTTGTAGACCTAGTTGTTTTAGGGATTTTTTAACTTTGTCTTGCTTTGAAAAAGATTTATCTTTCTTCTTGTAATGAGTTCTCCAATAGTTCTTGATTTCATTATCTGTTCGTCCTGGTAAATATCTTGCAATTGTTGACCACCTATACATATTGTGAAAGTTATATGTAAATGCATGCCCATGAAGTGTATAACTACAAATGTAAATTATAAAGAGGATTGAATCAAGCATATTAATATGAGGAAAACAAACTATTATCGTATATCAAACATGTTGTCAGATTACTAGGATGCAGCTAGCGTTTACCGTCTGGCTTTTAATTGACGTCGTCAAAAAATAAGGAGCTTACTTGTTTTTTTTTTTTGACTAAAAAGAAGCTTACTTGTTACCCCAAAGGGAGTGAAGTTCAAGAATGATTCCTTCTTCTTGAGGAGTGATTTGTCCTCTCTTAAGCCCTGGCCTTAAGTAGTTCACCCACCTTAGTCTACAGCTTTTGCCACTTCTATTCAACCCTAGTTTTCAGTTCCATGACAAACACAAAACTATTGAAAAGAGCACTGAGAATGTTTGACAAAACATTAATATGTACAAGTTTAATGCAACTTGATGATCTTTGACATTAATAAGATATAGTATATGAACTTTCCTATTTTAACATTTTATCAGACCAAAATGTTCGAATAAAATGTAAAAAATGTTCCCAAAATTATCAAAGTCAACTCCACAAAACAAGGAATCATAAGATCATCTTTTGATTTCCTACAAAATTAAACCCTTAAAGTTTTATTCCATCATGGCTTTTCGCTGTTTCTAACTATGAAAAGTGTGAGGAGACTGCTTATACATAAAAAAATAAAGAAACAAGAAGGACATCTATTACCAGGAGCTTCATTAAGTCAACTATACCCCATATATGTGATCTCCCAACTTGTCTTTATTAATCGTCATTAATACAACAAGTATACTAACTAATTGAATTAATTCTGTATAAATTATTAATTTAAAATATACTGAAATGGCTTTCACTAAAGAAGATATTCAATAAGAAAGAAGATCGATATCAATCGAACGAGATAATATATATAAGCTTACTAGTATGTCAGTACGAGCTTAGCGAAGATTAGAGAGTAATTCAGCTTTAGATTTGTAACACGTACACGTATGTACATAAAGAAGCAAAAATATGTATCCATGATCAAATCAAAATAGTTTACCTGCACACTTAGCAACAGAGCTCCATCTTCCTTCCCCATTGGAAGTAACATACTCGGCAAGAAGCTTGTCTTCTTCAGGTGTCCATGGACCCTTTCTACATCCTTGTTGTTGTTGTTGATAAATATCATGATCATGGTTTCGATGATGGACCTGATCAACTCCCCAATCAAGCATACCTCTTCAATTCTCAAAAACCCTTTCACACACAAAGCAATACTAAAACTTATGTGTATATATGTGCATGCAAGAGTTTGTGCTTTATTTGCTCTACTATGTTCATGTTTGTGGTTGAACATGTGCATGTATATATATGTATTATCTGTATCTATGTTGCTTAAGAACATTTTCTTACTTTTATGTGGGTATAACTCTATATATTTTATTTCATTTACTTTAGTTAAAGACCCCATGGTTAAACCAGTAGCATATGCGACTTTATGGTCTATTATTAGCATAAACTTATATAAATTTTAGTTAATAGGTATTTTCAACTTAAACGGTGATTAACTTGAGGATAAAGTCTAATACGGTAAAACTATATTAGAGAATTAAAATTTTGGTATCATTAGAGACAGAGAACCGATACGTAAATCAAAAACGTAAGCTACTAACACATGACTAGTCTGAACCCATTTTGATGGGTTAGATTACTCTATATAATTTAGAAAAGGAAATAAATTAGTTCAGTCCTCAATCACGGAAATAATCTTGATCAACCACTATTGGTCGAACAAGTGTTGACCACATAATGAGAACCGTTCATTACTTTTCTTACCCAATTAGGATTTTACAGGTACACTATTACCAAATCCACGCATAGATCCGTGAAATAAAGTTATTTGTCATCACTAAAAATATATTCTTGATACATTTGTCTTTTGTCTTTGGACACTCAAAAAGTTTTTTACCATCATCACAGAAGCATAACTTTGTTCTGGATTCAGTTCTTGGGGGAAATATATTTATAAATAATACGAGTGGGTTGTCTTTATTGTTAGAAAGAATTTTGAGCCAGTAAAATCTCAACATCTGGGAAATAAAATAATGAAAAGAAACCATGCTTTAAGAGTAATTCTTCATTAGTTTATTGATAACTTCGATATATACTATAGATTTATGCTTGAAATAATGTGTGCATACTATTTCGGGCAATAGGAAAATCAGGAAATTCCTTCCATACAATAAAGTATGGATGACTCACGTTGTAACCATGTGGCCTTTCGACCATACGTATATTTAAGGCAATGTTAGGGCTTTCTTGAATTGGTTGGTTAAACCGATTCAACTTTTTTAGAAAAAACAAAAGAGGCCTAAAACCAATTCAACCATATTTTTCAAGATTTGAACTCTAACATCTTTTTTAGTATTGGTTTTATCTTGGAGATTGCAACTTCTCTTTGGTTGCTAGAATTAACGCTGATGTTTTATCTATTCTATCAAAATAAAAATATCAAATAATTTTTATCTATTTTAAGTGATTTTTTACAGATTTTCATTACACTTTATGTTTTTCTAAATGATCATTTTGTTTATTGTAATCAATTAATTTATTTTATTCACTTCATTCATTGTCTTGCATAAATATGAAATTCTGATAAATTCGATTTTGATATATAGAAACCTTAAAATATACAAAAACTAATGTATTCAAAAATTCATAGGTGTACCAAAATAACCATGTCAACCGATTCGCTTCGAGTATTTTGCATCCAAACTAAACATAACCAAAAATAATAATCAAAAGTAACCATATTAACTAGTTTGATTCGGGTTAGATTTTGATGTATAGCAACTTAAAAATACTCAGTTAATTATATCATGACATACAAAATATATAACACTAATTATGAAAAAAAATACTCCATCCGTGTCATTTTGAGTTTTCGCTTTAGTTTTTGCACACAGATTAAGAAAACTTTTAATTTTACATATTTTCAAAATAAAACACCATTACCTATACACCTAACCACATTTCAACCAATGAAAAATAGAATGACATATAATGTCAATAAATTTGTATTGATATTGTAAAGCGGCACTTATTTTGAAACATGACAAATAAATTGAAACGAAAATAGTATCAGTTTATCAAAATTTTAAAACCCGCACGGAGATGCGGGTCAATCTCTAGTTACTAGTTAAAGTCAGAGTTGTATGAAGATTAATGAAGAATCAATAAAAGATCCAAGCTCAGAGGAAATAAGAGAAGCTACCTTTGCTATTCATCTTGATAAGGCACCCAGACCAGATGGCTTCTCAGCTAGCTTCTTCAAATTTCATTGGAGTGTTGTAGGCCAGCAGTCATTAAAGAAGTCCAGATGTTCTTCTCCTCAAGAACTCTCCGGCCTTACATAATAACACTCATGTAAGACTGATTCCAAAGATTACTGACTACAGACGGATTGCTTTGTGAAATGTATATTTCAAGATTTTTTTTAAGCTATCATCACTTGAACTAAAACCGGTTCAAGATCCGTTTAGAGAATCAATCAACATTCATTCCAGGAAGGGCTATTTTAGACAATGTTCTAATAACTCTAAAAGACAGTGTTCATTACATGGGATACGAGTGGCACGAGAAAGTTCAAGAGTGAACCATCTCCTCTTCGCAGACGATACCATGTTCTTCTACCACGCATTCTTAGAAAGTATTATAAAGCTGAAGAGTATTCTCCTTGACTATGAGAAGACGTTTATTCAAAAGATTAACAGGGATAAATCCTCTATCACATTCTAAGCAAAAGCACCAGCAGATAAGAGATCCCTAGTTAAAGGTAGGATGGGAATTGAAAAAGAAGGAGGTACTGGCAAATACCTTGGGCTACCCGAACATTTTAGGAGAAGGAAACACAACATGTTTACTTCCATAATAGACAAAATCCGACATAAGGCAGCAAGCTGGTCAACAAGATTTCTCTCCAAATTTTGGAAATTAAAAATACTAAAATATGTTCTTCGACAAGTCCCAACATACCTCATGTCCTGCTTCGAAATCCCTGCAAGTTTATGTAAGAAGATACAATCAGTTCTAACCCGCTTCTAGTGGGACGATTCTGAAAGAAAGAAGAAAATGTGCTGGATAGCATGGAGTAAGATGGCTAAGCCTAAAGCTGGTGGAGGCTGGGATTCAAGGACATACAATTCTTCAACCAAGCCCTCCTTGCTAAACAAGCATGGCAAATCTTAACATCCCATGACTGCCTACTAGTGAGAGTTCTCTAGGGAAATACTGCCACAAGGTCATTCCTAGATGCCAACCAAAAAACACTACGGTGTTTTCATACGGATAGAAAAGTATTCTATTTGGTAGAGACCTCCTAAAAGGGAACATGGACAAAAATATAGGTAATGGAGAAGATACTAGAGTCGGAAAGGATTCTTGGATGTCCCTAGAACAAAATATAAAAATTCATGGACCAATTATAGAAGCAAGAATCGACCTTAGAGTATCTGATCTTCTCACATGCGATATGAAATGGAACGATAGCATAATAGAGTAGTTCGTACCTCTAGTAGTGAGACAGGAGCAGCAGACTTATATATCTGGCAGTCAGCGAGGTCTGGAAGTACTCTACTAAATCAGGATACTTCACAACCACAATGGGAGAATCAGTTTCTATTCTAGCTGATCCGGAATTCTTTGAGTGCGTGAAGCACATTTGGAACCCCCAAAATGAGAATGTTCCTCTGGTCCATCACACATAATGCATTGCCTTTGGGAGCTAACCTACAAAGTAGAGCATTTAACCAGAAGCTTTTTGCAAACGATGCCAAGATAGAGAAACTACAATGCATACTTTTTTCTTGCCCTTTTGCACGCAAGGTTTGGGAGAAAATCTCAATTCACAAAGTGGTTCACATAACCATGGATAAAGGATTCAAATACACAATCAAGGAGTTCAGGAGAGTTATTTTTTTGCCGACAACATGAATATCAGGAAACATCCTTCCATGGGTATGTTGGGCCCTTTGAACAGCTCGCGATACACTAATCTTTGAAGATCACACACTCTCTCTAGAAAAAGTAGCTACGGAAGCATTAAGACTAGCTCATGAATGGTCATTTGCACAAGGAACTTAGAAGCAAACAAGCAATCAAATGAGGATTGTACCCAGAGCACTGCAGCACGAACCGATCAGAACGACATGCAGAACGGACGCCGCCTGGAAAAAGCAATCGAAGAGAGCAAGACTCGCCTGGATCTTCACGGATCCATCAAGTACATGCATGAACATTGGAGCGACGACTCAAGACTATGTCAAGATTCCACTCATCGCAGAAGCATTAGCTCATCGGTCGGGACTTATCACCGTAGTGGCTATGGAGATCTCCAACTCAACGTTTGTTAGAGTACTCAATAATGACTTGCAAAACTTAGATATTTATGGTATTGTGAAAAGATATCCAGCTAATCTCTTCTACTTTCGTCGATATCGTATTTTCTCACTTTTTTCATTCTCATAACGGTGATGTCGATACATTATCAAAAAATACCTTAAACAATTGATTTGTAATATATATATCTAAATTTTAAACACTTGGATCTAAGACCATTTTATGTGTGAACAAAAATTGGTGCACAAAAAAAAATTTACTTTGTAATCTTAGTTCTGATTTTGGATATTCCTTTGATAAAGTATAACTACAAAGGTTTTTCGTGCAGCTTTCACTTTAAATTTGAAGTAAAATTTGGGTGGATGGTATTAGCTAAGCATCAAAGACAAGATCTGTTGTGACGCAAGAACTAGGACCATTTTTGCTATAGAAATTTTTTTTTTTTTTTTTTTTTTTTTTGAAACATGCTATAGAAATATTTATAAGCTCTTTTGACAAAGACTGTACACGTATAGACGACCATTTCTTCAACTACCGTATTTATTTGTTCAAAATATAGTATATATGCACTATATTTTTTTCTTTAACTACAGTATGTATGCACTAATTAATTCAAGAAAATGAAGCACTCTAGTTAATACGTGCATATCTATATATATATATATATATATATATATATATATATATATATATATTAAGGCTAGCAAACCATTGCAAAGTAATATACCTCTATACTTAGTTAAAGTAAAAATAACTAAAAGTCTAAAAATCGTTTTAAGATTTAAAAGCTTATAGAAAGAATTTTATTTATCACGGTACATAGTGATAAACCCATCAG